GCAATTTCAAGCCACTGCTTCTGGGTTGTTGTTTTTATTGGTGTGTGAAGCTAAACATCAAAAGGTGGGGGCACAGGGTGTTTTTGCACAATGATGTTCTTCTGGTTATTCATCTTCACAGTAAACACTATAATTTGACCGAGCCAAAAAATGTATACTAAACAATATTTTGGACTATCTGTTCCAAGGCCAATGTCTAAAATTACACATTTAGCCATAGCATGACAAAAAACTGGCAGTCATGGGTTTGGGTGGAGTTCTTTCAATTTTTGCTTAATCCAATCAAAGATATGGCATCTTCAGCTCAGATCACCAAGCCCCCCCCCCCCAAAGTAGGATAACATCAAGGTAAATCTATAACACTGCCAATCTCAAATAGAATATAATAAAACATTTGTTGTCACTTTAAATGTACCCACTAATCAGAATATGTTAAAATGAAATCTCATTACATTCAGGTCTCAAAAGAGCCATTATGCATATACCCACATATACAAACATATATGACACAGAGAAACATCACAGTCTAGTTTGAACATGTGTGTGTACACACACACACACACACACACACACACACATATGGTGGGGAAAAAAGAATCCTGTGAACTTACAAGACAGATGAACTTACAAGACATAAGGAACAAAGCTGTTATATATCTAGTAGTCCTGCTATAGATACTTCGAAACCTCTTCCCAGAGAGGAGCAACAGAAACAGACCAAGGAGTAGGTGTTTGGAGTTTCTAACAATGCTTCGAGCTCTAAGCACATAGCGCTTATAAGCGGTATACTGAATGATGGGAAGCAATCTCAACTGTCCTTACCACCCTTACCCAGAGGGAAGCAACAGAAACAGACCATGACATGGGTGTGTGGGGTCTCTAACAATGCTTCAAGCATTGTTACACAAAGGAGTATTAAAACCTAATAGGCCCACTTTGTTCACCAAATGCTGAGGAATGATAGCATTCCCTTGTTTTCATATAATAGTGTTCTACATAAAAGAAAATTAGACTTAAGTCAAGAAATACTTAATTACTGTTGTGTGGCTATTTCGAAACATTTTTCACTCTGCAGAAAGTCAATTCTTTTTTCAACTTAAATATGAATTTTGGTTTTATGATCACGTTTTGAATAATAAGAACTGCCTTCTAATTACAGAGGTACAAATTGTCTCACATATGTAACTGAAGTAAGTTCCAATAATCTCATCTCCACATAAAAATCACTGCAACATACAGACAATTTTAAAAAACATAACTTGCATTCATAAAAACTAAAAAGTCTATTAAAAACAACTGAGGGAACAAAAGAAAAGGCTGCATTTTCATTAAATATTCCTTGATGAAGATTAATATTGCTGTCCATACACAAGTGATCGTACTTGTTTTTGCTTAGCCTGTGTTTCTAGTCAGTCATACCAGGCAAGATGGAACGTGTATGTATGGTTCAACAAGTTAAATATATATAAATCTGAATTTGATTTATAACTGAATCCTACCCATTTTAAGTCCACTAGCTTGGCAAAGAAATTCCATTTAGCATTCAAGATAGCTGTGGTTATTTAACTGTATAATGTCTTGTATTAGCGCTTGCTTGAACAGACAGAGTTTTCAACTTTATCAGCCAAAACTAAAAACAAAACAATTGTCATTCACTGTAAAACTTCACCACTTCTAAAAATAAGGCATAGGTGCAACACTTCCCTAAAATCTTGGACACACATTTCTAAGACCTCAAAATCATCATTTCAATGTGATAGATGAGTGAAATTATTAAATACCACACTGGTATTTAGGATAATTTATTACTTACATTTAATTTCTATTAATCTTTAATGTAAATAAAATTAAAATTTAGGTTTTACATTAATTCTAGTGCTTTTTGTGATTGAATGATTTGAGTGATCCAAATTGCCCATTCAAAAATGTATTTCTACAAAAATATGTATGTACAGAGGAAAGACAAACTTATTCATAATAATTAACAACCATGTTGCTCCTGTTGAAAAACTATTTTTAAAAGGTAATACTTGAGTGTGTTAATTATAATCTCATGTTGCTTCCTTGAATCCAGTATGGCTTATGTGTTTCACAGAAGACATAAAGAATGTAAAAATAACTGGCACACACTTTCTCCCTTGCAGAGTTAGGAGTCCTCTGTCAGTAACAGAAATAATATAGAGAAAATATGGGTCTCCAGACATGCTGCTTCCTTTCAATAGGGAGGGATTTATTTTTATGTGGGAGCAGTAAAATTTAGTTTTATGTGGGAGCAGTAAAATTTCCTTGAACATAGTCTCAAAAAATATATCAAGGAAGAGCTTCTGCATTTGAGTATGGATTTGTAAGACGAGTGCAATGATCAGTAAATAAAAGAAGATTAAAAAGCTTTCAGACATTACTTTGTTAAATGTATGGTAAGGCTACGAGTTCCAGCTTTTTAGCTTTTTTTCTGTCCTAATTCATCTATTTCTTGTGAGCTCGTATGGTAAAGGAAACCCAGATTCTTGTCCACCATTAGTGAAGGAAATTCACTAGATGACATTGAGTCCTTTATTCTCTTAGCCCAACCACTTCACGGGGATGTGGCAGCGCTGAAAAATATATCTAGGTATCAGCATGTCCCAAAAATCTTGACAGACTTGAACATGGGGTCCTACACAACAAAATGAAGATCTTATACTTAGGCAAGGGAAATCAAATGCACAGGTATAGAAAAGGTGATATCTAGCTTAACAGTAGTAACTGTGAGAAGGTCACTAAGAATCCTAATGGACAGCCACTTAAATATCAGCCAGCAGTGTGCTTCATCTGCCAAAAGAGTCAATGCAGTCTTAAGCTGCATCAGTAGAGAAACAATATCAAGATCATAAGAAATATTAGTACCACTATATTCTGCCTTGGTAAGACCACACTTGGAATACTGCATTCTGGTCTGGTCACCACAGTACAAAAAAGATGTTGAGACTCTAGAAAGAGTGCAAACAAAGGTGATTAGGTGCCTGGAGTTTACAACATATGATGAACGATTGCAGGAAATGAGTATGTCTACTCTAATGAAGAAAAGGACTAGGGATGACGTGATAGTAGTCTTCTAATCAGTGGTGGGATTCACATTTTTTTACGACTGGTTCTGTGGGCGTAGCTTGATGGGCGTGGCAGGGGAAGGCTACTGTAAAATCTTCAGTCAGAGGTGGTATTTGCCAGTTCTCTGCACTACTCAAAATTTCCACTACCGGTTCTCCAGAACTGGTCAGAATCTGCTGAATACCATCTCTGCTTCCAATGTTTCAGAGGCTGTCAGAAAGGAGAGGAAGACGATATATTCTCCAAAGCATCTGAGGGCAAGCCAAGAAGCATTGGATGGAAACTTATCAAAGAGAGATCCAACCAAGAACTAAGGAGAAATTTCCTGACAGTGAGAATGAATAACCAGTGGAATGGCTTGCCTCCAGAAATATGGGTGCTCCATCACTGGAGGTTTTTAAGAAGAAGTTCGAAAGCCATTTGTCTGGAATGGTATAGGGCAGTGGTGGCTAATCTTTTGGGGCTCCTGTGCCAAAAATTGTGTGTGTATTTGCATTGCTCACGCTCGCGTGCCAGCACCCAGAAGGCAATCCTTGCACAATCCCCCCCGCCATCCCCTTACCTGCACTGTGCCTCCCAGCTGATTTTCGGCTGGTTTGAGGCCTTTTTTGGCCTCCCAGAGGCTTGAGGAAAGCTTCTGCAGCCTTTGCAGGCCGGAAAACAGGCCCGTTTTGTCACTTCCAGTATTTCCGGAAATACAGGAAGTGATGAAACGGGCCTATTTTTCGGCCTGCAAAAGTTAAAGAAGCTTTCCTCAAGCCTCTGGGAGGCTGAAAAAAGCCTCAAACCAGCCGAAAATCAGCTGGGAGGCGCACACATGTGCAGTGAGGTAAGTTTGCCTGCAGCTTGCGTGCCGGCAAAAATGGCTCTGCATGCCACTTCTGGCACACGTGCCATAGGTTCGCTATCACAGGTATAGGGTCTCCTGTTTGAGCAGGGGGTAGAACACCTCTAAGGACCCTTTCAACTCTGTTATTATGTTAAAAAGATTATTTGAACAAGAATATTACAAGGCATTATGCACATGGTTTAAACCTCTTTAATTTATTCCAGACAAACTAAAGACACAAGCACAGTATGTAAACAAAATAAACAAAAATTCAAGAGAATTACTGTTCTTCCTCCTTTTGGCAAGCTTGCCTTGAGTGAAGAATGAAAATCCTCCATCTAAATTCTGCCCTTAGCTGAGCTACTTGTTGCTCAGTCATTGCCATCAACATCTCAGTTATCCTGATTAGTGGAAAATGGTTTCTGCCATATGTGTACCTCCTGAGAAAGCTGACATCCTTTTAAAAATGATTTCTGGGATTTGTGATAGCAATCTCAAAGTTTTTGCTAAATCTAAGAAGGCATTCTTCTGAAGTACAGGCTTAATTTAAAAGAAGCTCAAGAAAAACCAAAGTCCTGAAAGTTAAAGTCAACATGGCTTGAACAGTAGATCATTCATTTTATGTCTAAGATGTTCTTAAAACAAGGGCAAGGGCTGTGGACAGTTAGAACTGGAAGTGAAAACGGCCCAAGAATTTGTGAGAGGCCATAACATATATAAATGGTGACCTCTTCTGCATTAGGAACATGTTGAGTAGGAACATGAGCCATTCGAGATTCCTCGTCACTTCTTAAAGAGAGAGAGAGAGAGAGAGAGAGAGAGAGAGAGAGAGAGAGAGAGAGAGAGAAAGTGAAGTGTTGGCTCAGAGAAACACTTCATGCACTTCATACACGAATTGTTGAATGTAAACAAGGATAGTAGTGCCATGTCCGCAATTTTGCCTAATTTGACCATCTCCATGCTGGACAGTACCCATTTATCTCAGCAGATACCCTTCAAACCTGGAATATACAGGTTTGTATATAGAATATACAGAACTTCAATTTTATAAAAAAAAATCTATAGAACTTATTTTTATACATACCTGTGAGGTAGGTATTATGTGAGGAATTGATAAAATAATGAGACAGAGGCTGGCTCATATCTTCATTCAAATCCAGTTTTTCAGGTGGAACAACTCCATTTTCTTCTCCACTTAAGTATCTCATAAATCCATCCACTGATATCTGTCCTGGGAGAAAAGAAATTCAAAAGTCATATTCTTTAGCTCCATATGTTTCACTTGTAGCTTACAGGCTCACTCGGATTAATTGTTCTACAAGGTAAAACAACACATTATTTCTTCTATCAACAGCAATATACTGTACTGTAGGTTCTATGGTTCCTTCCACCTTTATTGCTATAGATCTATTAATGACTTGTTCATCCAGACATCCTCCAGATGTGTTGAGACTAAAATTCCAAGAAATCCCAGCAAATATGCCCAAATTCTTTTCTTCTAAGAGTTGGATGTAGAGAAATACGTATAAGTTTTATTTAAGTCAACCATACTAGGTCTACTATGTATTCCTCAGTCTGTATTAAACAGCCAATTTCTCAGTGCCTCAAATGTCATAAAAGATAAGGATCTGATTGCAAAGGAGGAATGCCTGCTACTACTTTCATCAGATTTCTTTAATAACCATTGCCTTGAAAGGTCAAAATGAGAAAGAGAAAAAATTCCCAACCCATGCATACAATATGACTTCAACATTTCTCCTTTTAGCTTTATCTTTTAGTTGTCAAAAAAAAAAGGAAAAAGTTTAATGAAGGGAGTTTCAGAATAAGTTCTTCTTCACAAGAAAAAAAAATGTTCCTAGAAATCTATGATCTGTGTTCTATTGATTATATTGCAGATTGACTGCACTATCTTGATTCGAGTAACAGTCGCAAGGATGGTGTTCTCGCAATATCGCAACCCTAATGCCCCATGTACTCATGTGATTAACAGCATGACTTCTGCCAACTTTAGTTTGGCTTCTGCTCAATTGCTCAACAGAGGAAACAAACATACTTTGCATTGCAAAACAAGTTTGAAAATTAGTCTATTTTGGTTGAATTTAAGAGTTCAAAAATTACACATTCAAAAACTTCCATAAAATATGGCATAATGGGCTGGTGAACATCCCAGCCAGCTCAAGGATAGCTGGCAAGTTCCACAATTGCTATGGATATTAAACAGAAGTGGTTTATATGAAGAAATATAATTAAAAGATGTGCTGTTCTCAGCTGCAGCTTCATGCAGCTTCCTGATGTTCTTTCTAATCTCCTACATTCTTCATAAGGATGCACATATCCAAATTAGAATGATTGCACTGCTTGCAAGCAGCAGGACAAAGACTTTCCCAGCCAGAAGCTATTTAATGTCTCTTATTATAATTTTTTCCACATATTCATCAAGTTATTTTCATTGTATATGTGGATTATCACTGCATGAGAGAATGAGTAGGTATAAGCCTATTGATCCAGCACCTTTTGTTATATCTTCATACCCCATGACATTTTGAACCTTGGAAGAATGAGATTTTTAATCCATCAGTAGTTCGATGCAGAAACAGCCATGCCATCAGCCTGCACTCTCAAGAAGTGGAGAAGAGCAGGGGCCATCATAAGACAACAAAAAGGCAAATAAATAGGATTCCTACTCCATTTCTTGATCACGGTATGAACTCCTAAAGAAATCTTAATTCAGCCCAAAGACTTTGTGCCAAGTTGGCAAGGTGCATCAATAGAATCAAGGATGTTAAGATACTTTCTTGGATGTCCCAAAGGTGCTTTTTCAAGAGGCAACTGGATTTTCTTTTTTTTTCTTTTTGGAAGATGTTTCGCTTCTCATCCAAGAAGCTTCTTCAGTTCAGGATAAACTGAAGAACCTTCTTGGATCAGAAGTGAAACGTCGTCCAAAAAGAAAAAAAAGGAAGTCCAGTTGCCTCTTGAAAAAGCATATTTGGGGCAACCATGACCTGGAATCTCCATAGACATACTTTCTTGGGGAGGAAAAAAACAAGGAAACTACCTTTCAAAATTCAGAAATAACAAACCTAACAGAAAATGGATCCTTCTCTAAAATGTCCATACTTTTCAACAACAACTTAGAATGAGCAAAAGTCATCAAGCCCACAAAAATCACACTGTCAAAATTTGATAACAATATATAGAAAGTTAAAAGAAAAGAAGCTGTAAAACACCTCAACATTCAAATATCACAACCTGGTGAATTCATTGGAATCATGAGGTCAAAATAAACCAGTAAGCAGCGTTCTTAACAAAGTCTTAATTTGATCTCAGAACAATCCATAATCTTCAAACCAATACTACTGTATACCTAGAACTACTAGCAAAACACCTAATTGAAAATAATATGTGCTAATTTCTTTTTCTTTTTTTAAACAAGTTTTATTTTCAAGACAAACAATACATAGATACACATAAAACAAAACATAAAAGCATAAAAAATCTCTTATCTGAAAGTTGCTTAGTCCCGGGTTAAAACTCTTGGTACAGACACAAATTCAAATTCATATTCATTTTACATACCATTTCATATCTTATTAACATTTTCAGTTTTCTATATGTCTTCTCCTCTCCTTTAAATTTTCTCAATTTTATTTTATTTTATTTATCTCCTCTCAATTCATATCATAATATTTATTATTCTTTGTCTGTTCTATTCCAGCCAGCCCTTTATTTTCCTTCTTTAAAAAAAAGAAAAAACTTCTCCTGTACACTATATGGAGTATGATGCCTTTATCTCTTTCCCCTACATTTATAATGCTTAATATAAAACACATGACATATATTGGGATTCTGTCTGGTACATTCTAAAATTATACTATATTATCAAAAATAATACAAATCTATTCATTAGTATTAATATTCATTCATATCTTAAACATTTAACTCATTACTTTTCAATTAAATCACATACTTTTATGGGAGCCCTATTTTCCATAGTTATATATTATATCCCTCATCATATATTATAGCTCATTATTTCATTAAAAAGTACCTCCTTCTTCTACTTCAATTCTCATTTCACAAGAAATTTCGCTAGTATACCATATTCTAATCATTAATATTAACAATCATTTATATCTTAAACATTTTATCCATTTCGATTAAATATCATACCTTTATGGGAACACTTATGCTTTTCAAAGATTATTACCCGCCCCACATCACAATCTTGAATCATGTTTCGTTACAGTACTCCCTTTTCTTAACCAAAAATTTCACTAATTTATGTTAAATATTTTATCACATTTTAGGTTACATATTGTTTCTAATTTTCTATGTTTACTTCTAAATACAAGTATAAAAATGCAGTCTTATGTACCTTTCTAGAATCCCTTTAACCATAAAGCTTATCCATTATCTCTAAAAAAAAATTGCCTCTTAACATCTTGCTCCCCACCATTAGGACTTCTCATCCCTTCCTTTCTTTCTTGTTTCTTCTTCTCCTTGTCCTCTTTAACCCCTTGTCTCTCCACCTCCCTTTTATTCTGCTTTCCCCCTTTCTGTTGTTTCTTAACATAATGTCCCCTTTTCATCTTATTCTTCTCTTTTTGGGCTATTTTTCCAGATCTTAAAGACCTTTTTCCCTTTTTCTCTTGCTTTTTCTCTTCTCCAGTCAAAGTCATTTGTTCATCAAAGATGGCTTCTCCTTCTTCTTTGTCCCCATCATCCTCATTCTGCTTCACATAAGTATAAACCGCCATTTCTAAGTATTGAAAAATAGTGCCAAGACCATCTTCCCCTCCTTGTTTTTCTCTTTCAAATTTTTGATATGTAAGTTCCAATTCATCCATAGATGATGCCATTGTGTAGAGAAAAAGTTTTTCCAACCACCCAGATGATTTAATCAGAAGTAATTTCCAAAAGGTTCCAAAGTCACCAAACAATCCAAACAGACTATTTCTTTTAGATACCTTCTTCTTCTTCACTTTCTCTTTCTGGGGTTAAAGTAATCACAAATCCTTTTCAAATATATTTTTTGGAAGTTTTTAAACTCTTTGTAATTCTAGGCAATCTTCTCCTTATTTTCAAATTTTGCTCTAATTCTTTTTTTCACTCTCCCTTACCACTCACAGCCAAAAAGGTGTTTTTTTTTCCCGCTGTCACTTTAGGAAGGAGAGTAGAACAAAGAAAAAACTTTCCCCTTTAGAATATTCGCAGCTTAAAACACTCACAGGGAACAATATATACTTAGCAGCCTTCAACATTCCAGGTCACTTTCTCCCGTCTTGTCCCGGTTAGAAGCAACTTTCACTTTTCTTTCAGCTTCCTCCCTCCTGCACCTGCTTGTCCGGCTGCAGCTTTCCTCGTGGCGGCCATTGCTGACCGCCGTTCCTCCGCCTCGGGAAAAGGGGGTTTAGCCGGCTGGGGAGGGGGTTTGCAACACCCCCAAACCCCTTGCCGGATCCCCCCTGTCTTCAGCTGCCTCTGTGGGGCAGCTATATCCCCCAGATCCAAATGGATTGGGGGAACCTTGGCGGTGAACGCAGCAGGGATCGCGCGGTCGCGAATCCCTGCCGCCGCCGAAAGGTTGCAAACCGGAAGTTTCAATATGTGCTAATTTCTATTGTTGTATCAAAAATATAAACATATGTAAATTTAATATACGTTATACTAGAAGAGTCTGAAATAAAATATGTATAGATGCCACAAAAAGATGGCATTTTTTACTTAAAAACATGCTATTTTTATTCTCCACTTGAGTCTCATTTTAAGCTTCTTTCTATAAACACAAAAGAATGAATACCATGATTTTTTTTATGCAATGTAGCTGGGGAGTGAATACTCTGACCTGTTCGACTGATACATATTTCTGTAATTAACAAAAATATAGGTTAGCAGATGAGCTTATTTTAAGAACATTCCTGCAATCTATTTATGCACATATCTGCACATGAATTATTCAAAGTACTGTGCATATTCTTTAATCATCTATTAAAGAATAGCTTCTTTCTGTTAAGCTGGAAAAAAAATCCTCTTCTTCTTCCTTCTGTTTTTTTTTCTTCAAGAAACAGATTTAAAATGCCTCATTACAATATCCATGATATTTATACTGCTTATTCTTTAAAAAAAAAAAACATTTCCAAGACAGTATGAATGCTTTGCTAGATTCTAAAGATTTCAGATACAGCTAAAAATAAAAAGATCATTTTTAAAAAACCAAAACACCCCTCATTG